CCCTCTCCCCAGAGCCCTCTGCCAGCGCTGGGGGGGTCGGGGGGGGCTGTGGCTTGGGACGGGCGGTGGGTGCTGCAGCTGATGGGGAGGGGATGATGGGGGGCACAGGCTGCTGTGCCCCCCCCATCACCCTGGAGGTGTGTTCCCAGCGCCCACCCCACACCCGGGGGGGGGCTGCCCCCCACCCTGCCCCTGTGCCTGGCCCTGAGGGTCTTGTCCATTATGCTCTGGGGGTGCTCGGGGGGCACAGGTAATCGTGGGTTCGCTGCCTGCCCCCTCCCCTGCCCCACAGTCTCTGCTTCCCCCAGTGCTGGGGTGTTGGGGGGCTCATGTGTGTCCCCCCCACTCCAGGTCACTGTACCCCCACCCCCCAGAACCTTCCCCAGCCCAAGCCGTGGGGCCATGACCTGATGGGGGCCCAGCTGTGGGTGCCCCTCCCTGGCTGTAGGGTCTGTGTGTGGGACGGTGTGGGGGGTCCAGGTGGGGGTCCGGACTGGGTGCTCATCCAGCTCCTCTTTCACCCACGTGCTGGCTATTTATAGCCCAGTGGCCAGCGAGCGGCTCTGTGGGGCTGGGGGGTTCCTTCCTGCCCCACAGCCCAGGGAGGGGGGCAGAGGCCTGGGGGCTGCACAGGGGGTGAGCCCTGGCCAGGGCGGGCACCTGGCACACGCCCCAGCACGTCTGCATGTGCCACCTGTGCACACGCGTGTGCCACACGTACACATATGTGCCCCACATGCATCCCCCCCCATGGCTGGGGGGCAGCCCTGCCCCGGGATGGGGTCTGGGGGCCATACTGGGGGGTCTGGGGTCCCCTCCAGGGAGGGGGAGGCCAAGGGCTCTGGTACGGGGGGGCAGCCCCCCACCCGGCCGTGCCACAGGATGGGGCCTGGGGGGTGGGATGGGCCTTGCACAGCCCTGACCCCCAACCCCCTGACCCCTGGGCAGCCCTGACCCCCGACCCCCTGACCCCCCGACCCCTGGGCAGCCCCATGGCTGGGGTGGGGACCAGCCTGCGTGGGCAGGGACTTGCCCAGGGGTGGGGGTCCCTTCTGGGGGTGTCTGTCCCTTCCCGGGGTGCCAGTCCTTGCCCAGGGGGTGGGTTCCTTCCTGGGGTGTCCGTCCCTTCTTGGGGTGCTGGTCCCTTACTGGGATGTGTGTCCCTTCCCGAATGTCAGTCCCCTCCCCGGGTGCCAACCACCCCTTCCCGGGGTGTCCATCCCTTCCCGGGGTGTTCATCCCTTCCGGGGCTGTTACCCCTTTCCTGGGGTGTCCATCCCCTCCCAGGGTCACAGTCCCAGCCGGGGGTGCAGGTCACCTCCTGGGATGTGGGCCTTTCCCAGTGTCCTGGTTCCATCCCAGTCCCCTCCTCCTGGGGTGCCCGTCCCGTCCTGGGGTGTCCATCCTGGCCCGAGGCCCCACTCCCCTCCCAGGCTGCCCATCCCTTCCTGGGCTCCCGCTCTTCTCCTGGGGTCCCCGTCCCTTCCCAGGGTGTCCCCGTCCCTTCCCAGGGTGTCCTGGTCCCCACCCGGGGTGCCAGTCCTTTCCCGGGGTGTCCATCCTTTCCTGGGATGTGGGTCCCCTCCCAGTGTCCCAGTTCCTTCCAGGGGTGTCCATCCCCTCCCGGTGTTCCCAGTCCTTTCCCAGTGTCGCTGTCTGGGGTGTCCCAGTCCCCTCCCAGGGTCCTGCTCCCTTCCTGGGGTGTCCCAGTCCCCGTCCAGGGGTGTCCATCCCCTCCCGGTGTTCCCAGTCCTTTCCCAGTGTCGCTGTCTGGGGTGTCCCAGTCCCCTCCCAGGGTCCTGCTCCCTTCCTGGGGTGTCCCAGTCCCCGTCCAGGGGTGTCCATCCCCTCCCGGTGTTCCCAGTCCTTTCCCGGTGTCCCTGTTCCCTCCAGGGGTGTCCCAGTCCCCTCCAGGGCTGTCCCTGTCCCCTCTGAGGGCCCCAGTCCCCTCCCGGGGTCCCGCTCCCTTCCCGGGGTGTTCCAATCCCGCTCCTTTCCCGGGGGTATCCATCCCCTCCCGGTGTCCCGGGCCCTTTCTGGGGTCTCCTGTTCCCTTCCCGGGGTGTCCCAGACCCCCTCCCGGGGTCCCAGTCCCCCCCCGGGGGTGTCGATCCCCTCCCGGTGTCCCCTCCCGGGCCCCGCGGGGGGGCTGTGGGGGGCGGAGCGGCGGCCGTTTCCATTCCGGGCGTTGTGGCGGGTCCCACCCGCCGCCGGAGTCCGGTTACCGGCTGCCGGACGCCGCGGGGGCAGGAGC